CTTTCTGCTTCCCTACCCACCTCTGCTTCCACTGTAACCTCCTGTCCCGCTGCTGATCTCTGCAGAGGCTCTTTGCTTTCAGGGCCTCTGGCACTCGTGGCCTGCTCAGTCCCAAGAGCTGCGTTTTATGCCCCTCTTCCTGCCCTTCACTCTGTCCCCTGCTGAGTCAGGCTTACCTGGCCATTCTCCAGTGGCTCTTCCACCTGCTGCCCCAGCTGCTCTTCCTGCTCTTGGGCTGGGAACAGCTCTCCCTCAGTCTGGCACGGCCTCCCTGAGAAAACAATCTGCTCCTGCTCTTTCTCTGGATGGACCTGCAGAGAAAGCAAGAGAAGATGGGCTTCAACTTCTCATCCAACATTTGTGGGCCAAGACTCAAAGGCTGATGGGCTCCCACGTTCCCAAAGCTCTGTGCTGCTGCTCTCCTGCCTTGTTCTCTGCCCGTGGGGAAGCACAGATTCCAAAGTGACCCTGGCAGTGCAATCAGGGCCCATCTGGCACTGAATCTCCAACAGACTCTTGGGCAGCTGACAGGAAATGTGGGGCATTTCTCAAGGGCCTCCTTCCCCTTCTGCTGTGTCCTGCTTGTCCTTCCATAGTGACTGACAGCCAGCCCTGTCCCACAGCTCCATCCTGGCTCTGCAGGGGCTTCCTGGGTGAGCTCAGCCCTTGGGAGAGACACTGCTGGAGTTCATGTTCTTTTCAGGCCTGCCCTGCCACTCTTGCCCTTCTGACATCTACACTCTTGTTAGAAATCCTGCTCATTCAGGAGACAAGGATGTGTGCAATTGGATCCTCTGCTGCAGGTCAGAGAGCCTCTATGGCCACCTCAGGATATGGAAGAGGACCAAGGTGTTTCTCCTCCCTCTTTTGTCAGCTGAGAATTCTGAGTGCCAGTGACGGAGATCCTCAAAAGGCCCCGTCAACAAATTAATTGACACACCCCTAGGGATGCCAATGAAGGAAGCCATGGGTCATGTAATGCATGTATGACCAAAGTCACCAAAAACCACCTAAACCATGGAATTGTCCCACTTCACTAGGACAGGCAGAAATTTATAGGTTAAACCGGGAGTGTCAGGACAGAAGAGGCAGGAGGAGGAAAACAGCTCTAAGGAGAAAGAACAACCATCTCTAAAGGGGGAAACATCTCTGCCTGCTGAGGATCAGTCAACAGAACATGTCTCTTCTCTTCTCCTGAAAGGGATGCCTTTAGGTGAGCTTTGCACCCCCAATTGCTTTGGAGAAGAGCCGGGAAGAATCAATTATGTAAAAGTTACATGGATAGATAGATGGATAGATGAACAGACAGACCAATAGACAGACAGATAGCTAGATCTCACTATTATAAACTCTCTCAGTATACTTTCTGTCACTACACACATCAACCCTTGGTAGCCAGTTCCCTGATCAGCAGCAATGCTGAACTCGCTCTCCTGTTGCTCCAATAAACCACACTCTTGGGGAATCTGGAGCGTGTCAGTCCTTATGGAATGTGATCAGAGCCAGAGCCCTGCACTGGGAACTGCACTCTTTGTGTATCTGTGCTCAGACAAGTTCTTCTCTTGGTCTCAAACACAGTGACGGTGCTGGCATTGAATCAGAAATGAATCCCAGCTCCTCCCAGCCTCTCTGATCTCTGGAGGACCAGCTTGCAATGCAAGGGCATTGATTTCCTGCTCAATTCCCAAACACAACACATCCTGATCCCTTGGGCTTCCAAAAAGACACGGACACTGTTAACCTGAAAATGATGTGCAAGCCCTGCTGTCTGGCCTGTCACCAGAACAGCTCCTTCTGCACCAACATCCCTGCCCCAAACTACGTGTTCTCATGCAAAAATACTGCATCTTCCAGAACTTCCACCTTGAAAACTAAAAGTCTATCACAATCTCAACCCGTGCTGGAAAAGGACAGGAAATCTGGAGCAAAAAGTGTCTTTGGTTACTGGAGAAAGAGAAAAGAAACAGGTTTTCTCCTCTTAGCAGACCAACAATCCAACAAAGATAAGGTGAAAATGTCACCTCCTCCAGTGTCAAAAGTACTTGGATGCAGGGAGGGGATGTTTGTCAGGGAAAAAGCCCTTGTGGCGAGCAAGGTCATGTAGGGATTTATGGAAGTCT